TAGTTTACAAGTAGAATAAGCACAATATATTATACTAGGAGTGACTAAAAAACTTCTTTGTTAAAACTTTGTTTTCATTCTTTTCCCGAATATGATGTGCAATCATCATATGTAGGATGTCATCCCATAATATCCCCAATAATATCCGTCTTGCGGGGTTTCTGATCGGCAGGTATGGCGGTAACAAGGCGGAGCAGCGTCTCACAACCTACTCTGGTCAGCCACCGCCCCCGGACGCCGCGCAGACGCGCCCGCCCCCGAGAGGCGAGTCTGACCACTCGCACTACCAGCAGCCGCGACCCTACCCCACCAGCCCCTACAGCGACACAGCCCAGGGAAGCGCTGCGACGCCGGCCAAGGACAACCGTGGCGCCACCTACGACGGGAGGTCGCGACCTGCACCAGCCGGCGGGCGCGCTCCTCCGCGGGAGAGTGTAGGGGGCGCTCCGCCGTTGGTGGACATTGTAGGGGGCGCTCCGCCGTCGCGGGACAGTGTAGGGGGCGCTCCGCCGTCGTTCTCTAGCCGTGACATCATCTACGACATGCGCAACGGTTCGATCCGCAAGTCGCAGCGCGGCTACGGCAGTTACGTGCAAGGTGGCGCCCCCTCGCGGGACGCGCGCGCACCGCCGGGTGTCAGCAGTCCACCAGATGGCGCCGCGTACGGCCGCCAGGGCGGTGCGCCCCGCAATGCTGGCGCCCCCGCAGGACCAAACTACGGCAACCACGCCCGCTCACTGCCACCGGGCAACCACGGCGGATACCCGCACACCAGCGGCAACCGCGGCAGCAGCATGCCACCCGGTAACCACGGCAACCACGGACGCGGGGCGTTTGGTGATGTTGACGACACGCGGCGGGCGTACCGGGGCGGGCGGCCGCAGCAGCAGCAGCAGCAGCCGGGCGAGGCGGAGATGGAGACGCGGCGCGCCGGTAACCGTGACAACTTCCTCATCCCGACTCAGTGAACCTTGACCCCAACAGTGAACTTTGACCTCGGCAGTTAACCCTGGCCCCGGCGGTTAACCTTGCCCCTGATATTGAACTCTGATCCCGGCAGTGAACTTTCTATGTTGTCGGTGCAAATGTGCGTTCTATGGGCTATGTGTCCATTGTTGTAAGTTGACGGCACAGCCACCCTGTGCCTGTGCAACTGTTGCATTTTATACCACGCCACCGACACGATACTGTTGCTACATCGATGCAGATAGCTGTGGTAGCGACTGTGATCATTCGTCCATCTGCCATGAGTGGCGTGCGCCACGGAAGCTGCTGTCAGGAGTGGCTTCGCTGCCATCATTGCCAACCCGTCCGTTCGCACCTGACCGTCCTGTTTCACATCATTGCCAAGGTTTTGGTGTAGTCGTGAGATGTCGTGCATTGATTGACGTCTGTGGCTTCGTCGCCATGGCGACCCGTTCGTTCGCACCTGACCGTCCTGTTTCACATCGTTGCCAAGGATTTGGTGTAGTCGTGAGATGTCGTGCATTGATTGACGTCTGTGGCTTCGTCGCCATGGCGACCCGTCCGTTCGCACCTGACCGTCCTGTTTCACATCGTTGCCAAGGATTTGGTGTAGTTGTGAGATGTCGTGCATTGATTGTCGTCCGCGACTGTATCGCCATGGCGACCCGTCCATTTGTGTATAGTCGATCATCACCCGTCCTGTTTTATATTG